GAGAGAGAGAGAGAGAGAGAGAGAGAGAGAGAGAGAGAGAGAGAGAGTAAGATAGACGCACAACTAAACAAAATTTTCAATGACCAACCAATGTTGAATGTCGACTCGGTACGATACGTTTAATTTTACAACCATTTTTCTTATACATATGTTGTAATACAATTCGATTCGGCTATTTGTGTAATTGTATTTTTGCCACATCGTGATGTATTGTTTTTGTTCATTGATTATTGCTCTTTACTCTTTCACTCACACCATAAGTGCGTCTGCATGCATGTGATTTACTTTCGGAAACGAAACCGAAATACCCAACACAAATTCAAAGTCCAGCTGCAATTTTTGGCTGCCTCATGCTGATGTTGGCAATTTGTGGCATCGACCATGACCATGAAGCATACAATTTCGCATAGTTTTTTTCTTCTTCTCTTTTTCTTCTTTCGTGTATTTACAAAATGTCTTATTGTTAATGTTCATTTATGTTCAACATATTCTGTAATCGATTCGGTTTGATGTTACTTTCGTACCTCTCTCTCTCTGTGTGTGTGTGTGGTTTTTTTTACTCTCTATGGATTACTGCATTCAATCGGCATTACACTTGTCGCTCATTAGATGGCATTTATTTGCTTAATTTAATGATTAAAAACCATTTTAATTATTTATATGAAGGTTAGTTTCTTTCAAATTCTCGATATAGTCGAGTAACGAAAGAAAAATGCGTTTTAGCAATTGGAAAATATCAAAAAACGTGACAGTGATAAATGCGATAAATATTTTTTTTGATTAGCATATCACGTATGATTATGTGTAATCGCGTACATTTGGTGGAAAAAAGACTAAAGAGCATAATGTCGAAACGATCGTTCCTTGAACGCATAATTGAACGTTTTGTGTGTAAAATATGACAGGATAGAGAGATAATTGCACCACAACAATAGTAGATTACAGTCATGTGTAATCACGTGTTCGAAGGTTTCGTCACTCTTAAATTCCGTTTCACGAATCTCGTTCTCGTCTGCAAATGCACGTGATTACACTAATATGTGAAATGTGTTGAAATTACCTCTATCCTGTCACATTGTACAGAGAAAAAAACAACATTCAAATGAATGTAGACCAAATACCGATGAAATCGTAAAAAGGCAGCGACATAAGCGAGCAAAATTCGTGTTAAACGGAAGCGTGTCAATTTTGTTATCATCATAAGATCGACTTGAGTAAATGCCATTGATGTGTGTGTGTGTCGAAAAAATATGGCCTCAAATGCTCTAAAGAAATAGAGAATCTTTGAACTTGTGCATTCCAAAGAAAAGTATTTATAAAAGTAGTATAAACGGTTTCCTCATTTCAATTATATTATTATCACGGTTTTGGCACACAAACAGATTGTCTACTTGTCTATTTGTTCTGACTCTTTGTCTCCGTGCACATTGTATTCAGATTAACTTACTCAAGTCTAATTCTAATCTTTTTTTTATTTGCCTTTTGTTTGCGCATCATTTGAAACAGCGCGCTATAGTGCTTGCTCTCATTGTGTGAGCTTTTTTTGATGCGAAAATTCCCTGGTTAGACATATACCGATTGGCGAAATTGTTTTACGAAAGATCATTGCTTCATTGAAATATATGCTAAACTCAGCGTTGATCAATTGTAAATAAAAAGCAATTCAATCAGCAATTGCTTTGTGTGTCATATCGTCGTGCTGTATGACATGAAATCATCATTAAATTTTGTGTGTATGACCTGAACTCGTAATTGGCTCCTGGATTTCACTGGCAACTGTATCAAAAGCGAACTAACTCAAGTCCTAAGTCAAAATGTAGGCTGAACTAACGAAATTAACGAGAGAGATTGGTCTGTTTGATGATGCACGACACCACTCATTCAATTCATCACTCTTCAATCGAGAGTTTCACTTTCGAAATCGCCTCTGACGACTAAATCGTAATGCTCTCTCTCTTTCTCATGGAAATCAAAGTCAATGGAATACGTAACCGAGTCACATATATTTCATGTGTTTAAATGATAATACATTTATTTGAAATAGGAGAGAGAGAGAGAGACGAGCATGAAGCGGCTGAACTTAGATTCGGTCAATATACGCTGATTTTAAATCAGTGCGGAAATCCATAAATGAACATGTAATCTAATTTGAATTCATTCGCATAAAAAACTGAATGGACTAAAGATACAAACACACCCACAGTAACATCAGCGACGACGAAATCAAATCAATCAACTTTTTTTTCGTCATTTTTTTTTCTATCGCCAAAAATTCGCGGAGAAATGTATGAAAATAAAAAAAAAATCCCGCCCAAAAGAAATTGCGAAAAAGAATTTATTCAACTTTTATTTAGTCAGTGCACATTTCATGATGCAACAACGACGAAAACAAAACTATTTTCAATGGTGGTGTTTCAAAATGCCAATGTGAATTGTTTTGCATTCAGTGTATTTGATTAATTTTGATTAAATAATTTGAAATATAATGCACATGAACCGTGCGCGCATCGAATTCTGTTATAATTCTTGAGCCCAGAGAGTTGTTCGTGTGTTGCTTTGTCTCGTTAAGTCATGTGTGTGTGTGTGTGTGTGTGTGTGTGTGTGTGTGTGTGTGTGTTTCGATGTGTGGAAAAGAGGCAACATAAATTAAGCGCGTTTTGACTGTGTGTATGTGTGTTACATATTAGAAATTGGCATGGCACAATCGAATCCACTAAACAATGGATCAGCAGCTGAACCGGATGCACAAATATTGGAGTTGATAAAAATAAATATGTGCCTAATATAGATTGCCATGCCCATCGACTGAACGAATGAACGAACCCATTGCAACAATCAACAAAACAACCCAACGCTTTGCGTTGGTGATCACAAACATTCTTATCACTCACATATGGACACAGGAGATGCGTATTTTAATGAGAACCGTACAAAAGAAAAATACGACTGTTTGTCGGTTTTTAAACACTTTTATTGTGTGACTCGCCGTTACGTTAAGTGTTTGCTTCATCTAATTCGGTTTCATTGACAATAACTGGAAATACCAACGCGCATCGTACAAAGTTGCGAATCAAATAAAACACACTTTCGACTGCTGCAAACAAAATGGACATGAACACATTTCAAGAGCAAAAATTCACTTGGCCCGAATACGTATTTGTCATAGTTTCGACACGAATAAAACAAAACACAAATACCCGATCAAATATTTTGTTTGAATAAAAGAATTAACGAAGTAATCAGAATGATTTGCCATTTAAATAGAAAAATTAGAAAAATGTGTAACAATTTTTCATTTTTGTTTGACTAAAAGTGTGGTCATTTCAAAATATATTCATTTTTAACGCAAGAAAAATTATATTTTCGTGAAATTTACGCATTTAAAGGTTTTTGTTCTTTGCAATTTTTTTATCGAAACTTTTCTGCATTCATTTATTGGATGTATGATAGGTCTTGAAACCGGAATTCAAAGAAGCGAACTTTTCGTGGAAAATACTAAAAAGCGCAATTTAACGTCGATAAGAAATTTACTAGAAAGTTGTTGCAAAAACGTGTCTCATTGTGAGTGATAAGGTGAGTTAACCAATTGGTTAAGGTCAGAATTTATTTATAAATATTTTGTGTATGTGATACCTCTGTGTTTACCTTGCAATCGAATGACCTGTGTCATTGTTCCACAAACAAACCACCAGTGAAAGATATGAAATGAGAACGAGAGAGAGAGAGATAGTGAAAAGAGTCGATAAGTCGAGGATAGAGGAAAGCGTGAAACGAGTTTTTTTTGCATTGTTTTTCTACAACCTGATGCATATAAGTCGTAATGACATTCAATTTTCATCGTTGTAATGATCGATGATCATGACATAAACGAATCAAGTCAATGCCAAACTTGTTCTTTGCAGATCAACGCCTACATTTCCATAACCTTAAAAGAATTAAACCTTCATTTCGGTCACATTTTCAAACTTTAATCGACACGAGAAAATACAAGCAACAACACAATATAATACCAAATGTATTCGGCTAATTACACATTTCTCACTGTACAATTTGAGCATATGAATCAAAAGAGTTAAGCGTGAATCAAGAGCGCAAAAGTATTTAAATAAAATGCACTACCATTTGCATACTATGAATGAACTGTCGCAATTATCGTAATGATAATTTTTATTTTCCGGTCTCTCTGTGGCTATGTATGTCTCTCTTTCTCTCTCTTCTATATTTTTGCCAGTCATTTGTTCATTGATGCTGTTTGTTTTTTATAAAGCCTAAATTGCTCCAATTACAATTGCGCACACAAAAAACATCATGGTGAAATATTATGAAAGTAGTTTTGAATGTAGATTTTCCAAATAACAGAAATAATCAACAAACACAATAATTATGTTTTTGAATCAGGTTTGATGAAAAAAAATCTTGAAGAAGAAAATTACAATTATCAGATGTCATCGATTTTATAAAATGTTCGTTGTTGTAATGTTGCACATAATAAAATTGTGACCACAGAGTGGGGAGAATAATCCATGCTCACACATTGTTTTTAGCCATTTGCGTTTGTGTGTGATAAGTGTTGGGAATTCGTTTCATGAAACCAATGGCGACTACTCATTTATTTCCTTAAGGATCTACGTTTCGATTTAAATCCAAATACATTGCAATACTTTACAACGTGTGATAAATGTAATATTTTAAAATAACTTTCCTAAAATGTTGACGATATTCAAATCAGTCTCATGATAAGTCTTTATTTGCTTTTTTCTGCCATTGATTTTGAGTGCTAATTTTTATTAAATTTGTTTTCTCTTTCGTTTATCGTTTAGCTTGTGTGAGTTGACGACAACTTGTGTATTGGCGCAAATAATTGAAGCAAAATGACCGTCGAATTGGATATTGTGGAGCGGAAAAACGAGGAAAATCTGAAATTAAGCAAACAAATGTTGGATACAATGAAAAAATTGAATATAGATGAAAATGAACCGATCGCCCCAATCACACCGACCATCGATGCTGACTTGGATACCACAACTACAACAAATAATACCGCCGCAACAGAACTACAGCGTTTCTATGCTGGAAAAAATGTGTTCATCACCGGTGGAACAGGTATATATTATCATATAATACGTTCCGATCAGTGTACAGCTATGAAGATTGCATTGTGAAGCGATTACAACTTTTCTCAGGCGTTTGCTAAGCAGAATTACAAATGAGCTTATTCGCTCCATATCCATTTCTCTTTAAGTGCCTGTCATTCTCTTCTCTTTTTTTTCTCTTTGCCTTATGTGTGTGCGAGCGCGCGCGCGTCTGTAGAAAATCGGTTGCAGTTCATTTTAATTTCTCAATATTCATTCCAATTGATTGAAGCAATATATTTTCTTATGCCATTTTATAACGGTAAAATCGTGTCTGACCGTTCGAAATACAAACGTGACATTGATGTGAACTGTCTTGAGAAATATGAAATTGACAACCAAATTTATTCATTCGAAATGGCAAATTCTAATCACGTAGTGATTTTTATTGACTATACAGAATTAGCTCAGTTCTTTTTGGACTCTGTTCACGAATTGCCGAAAAAAAATAAGCATATGGTGTCAATCAAAATGTGATTCTACCCATATCAAATTCATGAAATCGAATTCATGCAAAAATTTACATACAAGAAGCACCGCGGCAAAATTTAAAAAATAAAAACGACATCAAAAACATCGCTCCATTCGTTTTTATTGTCTGATTGTAATATAGAAATTCCACTACTTCACAATAATCGAATCGAAAAATAGAATTACTATATTTATAGAATAAATTTATCGAATTCAAATGAAAACTACATACATTTCCTTGAATTTATCAATTTGAAAGTTCGATTCATTCAAAAAAAGAAGATTGAATAAATGGTTATATTCGTGGAAATTGCGAAAATATGGTTATGAATTGTGTGAACAATTCATTATACTATTTGCGAATGGAATTATGTTATTTACCCAAAATAAATAAAGCAAAAGAAAAAAAACCATATTGGTTTAAAGAATTCATTAACACGTATCATCGTGTGTTTGTGTATGTGTATTTTTTCCTTCGTTTTGTTGGTAATTCTTGAAAAATTACTCAAAAATAGTTTACACATATGAGTCAGTTTATATGGATAAAAATGTACGTGTGAGTAAATCAATAAGCCGAAAAGTGAGCATTGATTATTTTTATGTTTCGTTTGTAACAGGTACACGGTCATTAATGTGATCATGAAAAATAATGCATTATGCAGAAATGAACAATGCAATTTCCAACATTAACACCGTCCAAAATTATGTATAAAGGTTAAAAATAAATTGCATAACGAAATTCCACACGCAAATCAGTTTTCGTCGAGGTCAATGTTAACAAAAAAAAAATTGGTTTTGAAAAGAGAAATACTATACCATCGAAATGGGCAGGGAAAAAGATGCAAAGCGAACAGAATATATCGCAATGCAATTGGCATGTTGACTTGAAATTCGGTAAAACCAAAAAAATGTATTACAAAACACACCAAGTCTTTATCACCTGAGCCGATTCATCTGTCTTTTTATGTTCATGGATTTTGTGTGTGTGTGTGTGTGTATTACATATTTTCTTCATTTTTTGTCGCTTCAGAACATGATCATTCACTTTTGTTTGTCAATAAATATTATTATTCGGCTACGGTCAGTCCATTTACCGTCGTCATCACCATCGTTGTACGCTTAACACATTTAATATGGATTTGGATGACATGTTGCCATGAAAATGATCAGACCACTTTAAACAACAAACAAAAGTGGTTTGACGCTCTTCAATAGTTTCATTTGCGCACACCATCTTAATTGAATAAATTGTAAATTCGGACTACGTGCGAATATAAGCACATGAGTAATGCTTATTACGGGGTTATCGTACCATTTTCAAACTGATTGCTAGTATCATCTTTTTTTGCGTGTGCACATTCGCATTTCTTACGCATATAGAAAAGTTGTTTTTTTCTTCCTATATACATTGAATTGACCTCATTTCCATTAATTGTTTAAATCATTCATTCACTAATTTAAAAAAATTTCATGAATTTGTTCAACAGGTTTTTTGGGAAAAACACTGATCGATAAATTGCTACGTTCGTGTCCGGGTGTGGAGAATATTTATTTGTTGGTGCGTAAGAAAAAGGGTCTTGACATTCATACGCGTCTCGAAAAAATTTTCGACGATAACGCGTTTGAACGATTACGTGAAACGGTACCGAAATTTCGACATAAGATTGTTGCGCTCGAAGGTGATTGTGCGCTTGCTGGATTTGGATTGAAAATTACCGATCGACAAACGCTTCTTTCCAATGTCAACATTGTCTTCCATTGCGCTGCTACAGTTCGTTTCGATGAGAAACTTCGACTAGCACTCAATATCAATGTTCACGGAACACGAGAATTGCTCGAGCTATGTACACATATGGAACATTTGCAGGTATGCTACCACTAACATTCAATTCATTGTAAATTTGTTAATAATTACAATTATACGGAACTAATTTCGCTGAAAAATGGAAAAAAAAAAATTAAAAACGTCTCGCCCGTTTTGCAGGTGGTGATGCATGTTTCGACCGCATATTCAAATTGCCATTTACGCTTCATTGAGGAAAAATTTTATAATTATCCATTTCATTTTGACGATCTATCTCGTATGATTGAAAAAATGGACGACAAAGCGCTCGATAAAATAACACCAACGTAAGTTTGAATCAGTTTGATCTTGCTCTAATTCAAAACAAAGGCTATCATTTCATCATAAAATGTTCATGCATGGTTTAATTTGTTTGTATTGTTTGTTGTTTAGTCTACTGGGTAAATGGCCAAATACATATGCATTCACAAAGGCAATGTCTGAGGATTTGATTCGAATGAATGGCAAAAATCTGCCGCTTGGCATGTTTCGTCCAGCTATTGTTACATCATCTGTACGCGAACCAGTTGTTGGTTACATTGATAATTTGTATGGGCCAACGGGTGTTGTGGCCGGTGCCGGCACAGGCCTATTACGTACCATGCACTGTAATCCAGATATGAGCGCAAACATTGTACCCGTTGATATGACCGTTAATGCGCTCATTGCCAGCGCATGGGACGTTGCTACAAATAATAAAGATGCATGGTAAGTAATATAACTTTTAAATGATTCGATATTTTCAATAAAAACAAACGAATTTTTATTTTTATTTTCAAAATAGCATTGCTGAAGATATTCCAATTTACAATTATGTTTCTTCGGTTGAAAATCCATTAACATGGGGCCAATTTACCGATCAAAATATTCGGAATGGTTTTGATTATCCATTTTCAACGTGCTATTGGTATGTTTCATTCCATATGCATAAAACCGCATTCATGAATCGCATCTATATGGTATTTTTGCATTTGCTGCCCGCTTTAATATTTGATTTATACCAAAAAGTTACTGGAGGACAGGAAAATCTACTCAAATTCTATAAAAAGATCCACAAATTTTCCAGCGTTATTTCATTCTTCTGCACAAACGAATGGGTAAGCTGAGAACATTTTTATATTATATTGAATTTATTTGTTTTAATTTGAAAAATAAAAAAACTGGTTCTTGACGAAAAGAAAAACAAAAACATTTACCAATATCTGTATGACGTCCTCATGTGATTCTTTAGCATATTTGAAATTTGTGAATCTACTATTTATCATACCATTTCAGTCATCCTCTAGACACAAAGAAATGTCCACCATTAAGGACTTCGGAAGGTCGAACATTTTTCGACATTGACATTTTTAAATTCTGAGAATATTTAAATTTTTTAAAAATGATTATGCAAAATGATATGACCATCAAGTCAGTTTAATCATTTCGACAAGAACTATAAATAAATTTTAAATGCTATTTTTCGAAGAAAAACTTTCTAAATTATTTTTGCCTTGACTTTACCAAATATAGATGTTCACAAATTCGAATGTGCAACGTTTGTGGCGAAAAATTGGTCGTCGAGATCAAGAATTGTTTGATTTTAATATTCGAAATGTTGATTGGGAAGAATATTCGTATCACTACATCAAAGGAATGCGTTTATACTATTTCAAGGATGATTTGTCAACGGTCGATGCTGCGCGGAAGAAGTGGAGAAAGTAATTTCATAAACAAACATTATTTTGTATTTTAACAATAATGTATCAATCTCTTTGTTTTCCATTTAGATACTTCTTGTACCACCAGATCATAAAGACCCTGTTTTATGGTATTTCGGCTTTCGTTGCACTGTACACAGTTTGGGCGGTTTTTTCACATTTCTTTTATTAATTGAAAGTTAGTTGTGATGAAATGGCTTTTTATAGTTAAAAAATAATTTCAACGAACAAAATCTAAAGTAAAATTAAATATTAGTTTTTAAGAACAATATAGTAATTCAATAGTTGATATACATGCATACCCACACACACGCTCATACGCCCACAATAAGGAAACACACATATTCGAAATAAGACTATGACTTTGTACGATGGGAACTAGTATCGTATATTCCCCATACAAATTAATTTTATCGATTCTACGAACACGACATCTGTTAAAAAAGATACCGATTTTTGTTACTACTGTTGCTTTGACACAGCTCGAGCGAACTATGGCTGTATTACATACGAACTAATACAAAAGAACACACAGACTCCGATCCTGTGTATGCGTATGTATTGTAAATTTTGCACAAGCAGCTACGATTGACGACTGAGTGCAGAATTTGTAATACATACGCATACACAGAATCGGAGTCAGTGTGTTCCTTTGTACGTTTACAGTTTACACGAGCTGTATTAAAACACCACTAGTAACAGAAATCGGCGAGTTTTTTAGTAGATGTCGTATTGGTGGAATCGATAAAGAAAAATCTACGATATTAGCGCTCATTGACTTTGTATTACATTTTAGGAACGATTTGCTTTCAATAATTTGATTATTGTTAAAAATGTTTGTTTTCGTACGCAAAAATTCAGATTTTGTAAATTACACCATTTAAAGAAAAAAAAGTTATCTTAAAATTCGGCTAAATCCGAAGCTCTGAGCAGACAAAAAAAATATTTTGCAAAATCCCCGAATTTGATATAAACCATCTTAATCGTATAAATTAGAATAAGTTTTTTTGATTAAAAAAACAACAACACAATTACCAATACTTTGTTTTCGTTAATTAAATTTCGTGTGAATAATTGTATTCGTATAATTATAATTACTAAACTATAGTTGACAAGTGAAAAAAGCCTTTTCCCACAAATGTAAACAATGGTTGTAATTTGAGATAAAAGGTGTTTTTTCTTTTGTAATTTTTTGGGAAAATAGTTGTAGTCCCAAAAGAAGATTGAAACTTATTATTATTGATTTAGTATCAAATCAATGAAGTTTCATTGATTGTTAATGGTGTAAAAAATCAAATGAAAGTTGAACAATTCTATATTATTCCCCTTGAATAACACTAATCACATATAAAAAAAAACATGAAAATAAAAATGACGAAAATTGTGATAAAATCGAGTGGGAGAGAGAAAGTAACAAAAAATATATATGCACGTGTAAAATTCATCCAATTCCAAAGTATACATTATTATTCAATCCACATCCATACAAACAACAGAATATCACACACACACATATTTGTTTTATTCATCATTTAAAAATGAACAAAATCAATAAAAGAATAAACATCAACATTTGTGAATAGAGATTAGTGAAATGGGTTATGATCACGCACTCACATCCAGTGTGGACATTGAACAAATGACAATAATAATAATTATTATAATAAAATAATAATAATAGTATTTCGTGTCAATTAAGACACATTTTAGTTGAAAATTTGGTAAATTAATTATGTAAGTTTTGTCTTCTAATCAATGCGGTTTAATAAAAGAAAGTTTAAGAAAAATATTTGTTTTCATTTTACTTTTAAGCACACCTAGTGAAGGAAAGGTATTGTATTAGGCTAAAAAATTAAAGTCACCACAAAACATGTTTTCTATGCATATTTCATGTAGAAAACACGATTAGAGGCGATTTTGGGGCATATTAATGTTACTCGTTGTGTAGCATGTGCGGTGTGTCCTGTGGCGTGTTGTCAAAATGTCCATACTTTGCATGATAGTTCATCACACACAAAACATATTCAAAATCTGATTCTACTGGATGATTGGGGACTGTGAGGAGTACATCTGGTCAAATTTTCAGCGATATTGAATGATGTGTGTAAAATGGAGGCCCTGACCAGGAAAAAATCTACACCTTTTTTGTTACCGCGATAAGTCATCTTCCAAAAGCTCAATTCAAATTCTGACTTTGCAGGATGATTTGAGACTACTAGTGCTGATTAGTTTTTGAGCAATATCTGCTGACCGGTGTAATTTTTGACCCGAATGGAGTACCCACATCCATACATTTTTTAACCATTAGTTTTAAGATGGAATCAATTTTTCATAGATTTTTCATTCAAAAATTCACACAAAAAAAATATTTTTGTATGAGAGCCATGCCTTTGTGGTAGCGAAATGACGTGAAACTTTGTACATTTGGTTTTTTCCACAAGAAAATTACATTCCGAGAGTTTAATGAAATGTCAATGCATATTAGGGATACCTCCTATACAACATTTTCTTTTATGAGCCAAAAATCAAAAATTTTGTATGGGGGTAACTATATTTTTGATTGAAATTTCTTTAAACTTGGTGAGATTATTTATTTTGATAAGAAAATAATATTCACGAGTTTTAACGGTGATTTAAGTTACTGCAACCAAACATAGACCATAATTTCAGTTTATTCCCAAAATTACGGTTCCATGCGGAAAAGTCATCTTGCGAACGTAAGCCTCTTTATTTATTTATTAAATATTGTGATAAAACCAAACCGGTAAAAAAGAATCAGAAATATTTTACAACTTTATAATTTTCTTACTCTGAACCAGGGATTTTTTCTCTGAAGAGGAATAAAATGAAGAGGAGGAGAAGAGCGAGGAGGATCCTCCTCCTCAAGTGAGGAGGAAAAGTTTTTTTTGCTCAATGGGCTATTTTTGTCACAAAAATACAGTGAATAGATTGGGCTACAGCTATAGCAGTGCTATTTTCACAGCTCCTATTCATAGGTGCTATTTGTAAACAACGCATTCGGACAGCGACTTTATGATACAATTCCGAATGAAATGTTCTAAATGTAAATAGGACAATAGACTTATTGATTTTAGTATTTTTTTGCATAAACAAATCATTGTCCGAATCATAAAATCTTTGTTCGTATGCGTTGTTCACAAATGGCACCCATGAATAGGAGCTGTGAAAATATCATTTTTATCTAAAAACATTTTCCTTCTCACTCTTCTCCGCCTCCTCATTTTCCCCCTCACCATTCCTCAACTCAGAGGAACAATCCCTGCTCTGAACTCTGGCGGGTATGACATACGGTGTATATACGTGATGATACGTTGTTTTTTTCGTATTTTTATCATGATTATTTCCTCAAATAATTCAATGAACTTTATTTTGGTGTACATAACAAATGAAATGTTTTGTATACTCTTCCGCAACTGACTGATAATGTTATTTCTCTACCGAAATAGAACATGATGGGCGATTTTTTGCTTCTAAACTACAACGCACTAACGCACTATTTGGTTTTACTTTATGAATTTATTTTTGAAATTTTGTTAACAATAAATTTTTGGTTCTATTCAGAGTTTTGTTGATCACACCCTTATTGAAAATAGGGTTAACACTATAACGTTTCAGTCTATCTAATGACATTCAATTTTTATCGTTCTAATGATCAATGATCATGACATAAACGAATCAAGTCAATGACAAACTTGAGAAAATCCGAGCAACAACACAACAAAATACCAACTGTATTCGGCTAATTAACAGCTGCGCACATTTATCACTGTGTAATTTGAGCATATGAATCGAAAGAGATAAACGTAAATCAAGAGCGCAAATTAAATACTAATAAAATGCACAATATTGCATACTATGGATAAACTCTCGCAATTATCGCAATAATAATTTTTATTTTCCGGTTTGGCTGTGGCTATGTACTGTGTATGTCTCTATCTCTTTTATATATTTTCTCCAGACATTTAATGTCCATTAATGCCGTTTGTTTTTAATAAAGTAAAATTGGTGCAATTACAATTGCGCACTCAAAAAAGATCATTGTAAAATATTATGAAGGTAGTTTTGAATATAGATTTTCTAAATAACAACAAGAATCTTCAACAAATATGTGTTTTATTTAAAATCATTTATTATACTAATCGATGGTCATTCCCGATCATGTCTGCGTCTTGGCTTATCGTGGCGCTGTTTTCACTCAATCAATCATGCAATGCTGAATCAATTACGTCGTGAGTTCGATTGGGGTAATTTTTTTTAGAGCTCTGGCCTTGTATATTAAGCACCCGGCACTTTTAAACAATGGTTCACAAATCTATCAACAGTCGAACTGTATACAATTGAATATTTGTTATAAACATATTTATAAAGATTTATCCAAGATATAAGCGACGTTGTTATTTCTAGTAGCTCAGGCTGCACTATATTTAGCGAGTCCGTACTACGAACCCAAAAACAAAAATATTGATAAAAAATACGAAAATGAAAAATACAAAACATTTTTGAACACACGACACACAAAAGATATACCTTAAAAAGAATACAACAAAAAGAAAACAAACAGCATTTCGACACGAGAACCAGCATTTAGTAGTCAAAACCACAGATGACAGGAGTTAGACCAGAGAAGTACTAAAAACCAAAGAAAGTAAGTAAACCTACACTCTTTTAGAAATCTCATATCTGAACGTGGAACAACGTAAATATTTAAATCCGTAATTCTCATATCCAAATACACTGCCAGTCTTCAGGCCGGCATGACCTTATGTAAAACGTGGTACCGTACTACTAGAAGAAACAAAGTAATCTCCAAATTCTAGATTGGATATTATGTTCACATAGCTTCTGACCAGGGATCCGAGGGGTCGGATTAATCCTTCACAGAGAACGGATTTGAAATTACACCTCTACAAATTGTGGAAAATTTTCCAGTATCAATTCTGTAAAATCAAAAACATATTTTTAATAGAGGTTCTTATGATTTTTTAGAGCTTTTACATTTTTGGATCGCCTTCGTCAGAAACTATGTGTGTTGGTTGAATGTTGAAACGACAATCCGGAATTTTGAATAAAAACTTTCTAGGATAATTATTCTTTTCTGTTTTTAAACTGAACGCACTAAGAGATATGTAATTGTCATGTTGTCAATTTTGAAACAATAAACATAAATTAAAGTAGTTCAATAGTAAGGATAAACGATAAGGACATTTGTTAATTGAGCTATTTTACCAATTAAAACAGTTTCCAAACAAAAAAGTCAACAACCAATAAAACCACATATAAATAAAATGGCAATAACACCAGAAGTAGATCAAATGGGACCCTATACACCTATACCGGAATTTTATGCCGGCCGAAGTGTATCCATCACTGGTGGAAATGGTTTTATGGGAAAGGTAATTTTAATTGAAATTGAACTTCTTTTTTCGTTGACATTTTTGATATTCAATACTATCGTTTGATGTTACTTTATTCAGGTGCTGGTGAAGAAATGACTACGATCATGTCCGGGCATAGCAAACATATATTTATTAATGTGACCCAAACGTGTTCGAGAAATATCTGTGCGATTAAATGAAATATTAAACTCAGCAGTAAGTTAAGCAAAATGTACAATCATGCAAATATTGACCGTGTCATTGTTTTGATTCAATAATGTAGCTGTTCGATACAGTTCGCAATGAAAATCCAAATGTTTTGAAAAAAGTTTCACCGATTTGTGGTGACATATAGCACTACATCAGCTTGGAATTTCGGAAAGTGATCAAACCCTATTATGTTGCAATGTATCTGTAGTGTTTCATTCAGCAGCAACAATTAAATATATTCGGTAATATATTGAATATTTTCGGTTCAGGCACTTGTTCATATTTCAACCACGTATTGCAATTGTGATCGAACTGAAATCCAGGAATTAATCTACAAAAAGCCGTACGATCCAGCCAATATTATTAACTTGATAAGTTGGATACCAGAGGATCTTTTAGACAAGGTATTATGAAATACATTCGAATTTCATGGAAACAAAAAAATCTAATAATAATTGTTTACATTTGCAGTTAACACCATCGCTGATCGGAAAACATCCAAATACATACACGTTCACAAAAGCACTAACTGAGCACATGCTGCTTGAAGAAGCTGGGAATTTGCCATTAACTATCGTCCGATCATCAATGGGTAAGTTTGCATGGGGTCTAATTGCATTTCAATTCGGTTATTGTGACTTCCCTTCTCTCTCTCTGTATCTCCAAATATCAAAGTGCTTTCTTGTTTCAATGAGCCGATTGATGGTTGGTTGGACAACTGGAATGGACCAACTGCATCTATAGCAGCACTTGTTAATGGCTACTTACGGTCAATAACATGTGAAAAGGATTTTATGGCCGACATAATTCCCGTTGACATCGTTATAAATCTGATAATAATGGCAGCTTGGAGGACGGCAACAACCAAATCACATAACATGAAAATCTATAATTGCGTGTCAAGCCGACAACAACCAATTAAATGGGGTGAATTTGTGGATTATTCAGTGCAGAATAGTATTCGACATCCAATGGAAGGTGTTATATGGAATTTTGTGTTTTAATAATTGAAAATTAAAAAAGCTGTTTTCGCTTGCATTTATAGATTGATCAAGATCCATAATAAATTGGGGAAGGTACTTAATTCGTTAGAATACTATACAACGCATCAATGGCGTTTCACTTTGATGTTACTCAGATTTAATGGGATACTTACATGTAGCAATATATTCTGGGAATAAGGAAATTCTTATTCAAACAAGATCCGAAAACATTCATCGAAATGAATTCTAATCCATTTATTTCCATTAATTCACATTTTCAGATTATACAGTGTGCACCAAATGTCCAAAATTTTCATAGTAATAATAATATTATTAGCATTATTTATGAGATTTTAATGCCTACCAAAACTGACCGACACATACATTGCAAAAACCTTTTTTGAAATTTGGCATCGACTGACTACCCATGGATGGATTATGGATTATAGTGGGGAGAAAGACTCAAAAGAGAAAATCTCGTCGCGAAGGTCAAGGACCTATTGCAAAGCTACCCGTGGAGAAAGAGTAAAACAGCTCGTTCCTACCGATTGATAATAAAATCATCCATAGGTTTAATGTTGCGACACTATTACGTGGGTTGTGTTACATTAAAAGTATCGTTCCCTGTAACTTGTCTATCGTTATTTAGTAAAGTGGGGGTGTCCCTCAGTTGAGAGAATCTACCCGACTCTTTGATGAAGCTAAACATTTTTGAAATATCAAATTTTAAGACTTCCTCTGGATTGATCGTCCCCTTACCAAAAATAGTAACTCTGGTACGATCTAGTTGTGTACATGTGCACAGGAAATGAATTGAGGTTTCCTCATTTCTTCCGCAAAGGTCACAATCTGGATCATCCCTAACTCCAATGCGCTTCAAGTAACTCCAATGCGCTTCAAGTGACTACCCATGACATTTCATTCATTGCTAATGCCTAATGGTGTAAAAAACCGAATGAAAATTAAACAATTCTATATTATTCTCCTTATAAAAACATAAAATTTATTTGAATTTAATGACAAAAATTGTGATAAAATCGTGTGGGTGAGAGAAAGTAACAGAAAAATATATGAACATGCAAAATTTATCCAAGTCCAAAGTATACATTATTACTACAACAACAGAATATAACACACACATTTGTTTTACTCCTGATTTGAAAATAAATAAAATCAATAATAGAATAGACTTCAACATTTTGTGAATAGAGATTATTGAAATGTGTTATGATCATGCACTCACATCCAATGTGGACATTGAACAAATGACAATAATAATAGTATTTCGTGTCAATTAAGACACGTTTTAGTTGAAAATTTGGTAAATTAGTTACGTAAGTCAATGCGGTTAAATAAAAAAAAGTTTAAAAAAAATATGGTTTTTAAATATTTTGTTTTTATTTGATTTTTATTTTTTAAATATTGTGCTAAAACAGAATTTTTAATATATATTTTTGGTTGAAAAAGAATCAGAAAGATTTTAAAAATGTCTTACTAGTAATTCCTTTTTTTTAATAACTTTGTAATTTTCTTTGTATAAAGAGCATATACCAAACTTTAAACTACAAATATAATAAAACGCTTGTGACTACGATAGATGTATAAAGATAAAATTGATTTTTGTTTTGATCAAAGAAAGAAAAGACTACACGCAATACGTGTGCAACAAATACAAATAATTCACAAATATACTTCGAACAATATTAATTTTTTTGGCTTAGTTTTTTTTACTAAAAGTAAATCGCAAATTATTCAGAAAAAAAGTTCCATATATGTTGAGGAAAAAACAAACCCTTTTTTGGTTTGCAAAAAAAGGAAATTGCAAATGACGATTAGGCTTGAATGATTTTAATGCGTCGCTCGATATGAGCTCGACACATTGGACAATTCTCAATAGTGCTATGGCAGTTAAGACAGCAACACAGATGGCCACATGGCAGGAATATAATTTTACACTGAAATCGAAAATATACAAAAAATTAGAATAATAAATTGTTGACGAATTATTTTTGTAATTTTTGAAAATGTCACGGAAATAACAATTTTTTGCTATTGTGTTGCATCAACCTACCGATTCTTCCATACAAATAACACATTCCGATTCCATTTCAGTGGTAGATTGCCTAGGGTTAATCACAAAGAAAAGAATGGAAATAATGGAAATTAATCAATATGAAATGGAACGTAATGGAAGTAATGGAAAAATAATCGAAAGAATGGATAGCATTCTCCAATAATGGAATAGTAATTTTTAAAGTAAGTATACCCTGTAGATTGCTCATCATTTGCGGCTGATTGTTCATCTGTTGCGATTGTTTGTTGCTGTGGTATTGCTTCAGTTGTTTGTATTGGCGACTCCAATTTAAGAAAGTCTCGAATCGATTGTAATATCTTTTCACGATCACAGGCATTTTTAATTCCCGCTTCAATCAAATCATTTTCGGTAATATCATAAATATTACATTTGTCCGATTGCCATAATCTCGATAAAAATGGAATGCAATGCACGACACCATTAACCAAAAAGTTATATCCAAGCAATGGATCAATGCTGTTCGATCGAAATGATTGCTCGCCTGCCGGTTGCGAGTCCAATAGCTTTTGATATTGTAATAACCAAAAGTCTTGATGCTCATTTTCTCGTTGTGATTCAAGACACATGAGCGTATCAAGTAGCTCTCTCTTTCGACTCGATTGTTGCTCTAACAAATCCAAAAGAACATAGGTTAATTTCACTCTTTGTTCGCTCAAATCAACCTGCAGAGAAAAGAAGTTGAAAGTCTTGAAAAAAAACCGAAATTGTTGGCTGTAATTGTTTACTCACAATTTGATCATCCATTTGTAATTTCTTGCGTTCAATTTCACAGTTTGTCATCGATGCTAGTTGCGTTTCAACGATGCGCACTTGTTCAATCAATCCCCATGTTCGGGCATCATTCTTTTCGATAAGCGCAGTGAATGCCCTCTTCTGCAGATCTTCGTTTTGCGTAATTTTGGATACGGCAACGGCTCGATCTTTATCATTATTTTTGAATAGATTATCCAACAATTGATTTGTATTAATTTCATGCTCTAGCAGCGTTTTTGAGGTATTGTCACGTTTTTCGTTGTACATTTCAATCTGTTTTGTCTCGTACTCCAATAGTTCAGTCATTGCAGCCAAAATATCACGTTTACGTAAGTCATCATGGTTTATACGAAGTTGTTCCAATAATTGTTTTTGCTCTTCTTGCTCTTGCTCCAATAAGGCTGAATCGGGACCACTTTTCAATGATATCAATTGATCGACAATCATTCCGGCATTTGCTTCAGCTAAAATTCGGCGAAAAGACGAAACATTTGTAAAAATTGAACGTTGCCATTTTAGATAAATGACAGAGTTTATTCATTTAAAATTGTACCTTGTAAAATGTCTTCAATCAATTTATGTCGTTCCGAATCCTTTTCCTTTTGCATTCGTTGTATCATTGTGTCTGATTCATTTTGCTGTTGTAGCAAATGTTGCAATAGGTTTTGTTTGCGCTTTTGTTGTTGTTGATGTAGTTCAGCTTCCAGATTCGAATATCTCTCCAGTTCAGATCGTTCACGTTCCATGAATTTCTGGATTTAAAATGGGATTCGATTTGTTTTGATTTGAAATAGTCGTGATTCAAAAAGATCCTTACCTTGTCCCGTGTATATTTGTCATTTTTAGAAATTGAATGTTTATCATTTGTGTTATTCCATTCCCGTACAACATCTCTGCCACGTTCAATCTCAATCATTTTAGCGGTTGTTCGTTTAATGTTTTGTGCTGGTTTTGTTTCAAAGCCATTGTGTTCGAGTAAATATTTTAGAATTTCAGCCGTTCCACATTCAATAACATTGGCTGGTGGATATAAAATGTATTGTGGGTCGAGTACAATATCCATCAGACTGTCACAAGTGGTGAGTTGATTGGGTAATTGTGTTAAATTTTCATTTCCCGTAATGTTTAAAATGCGTAAATTCGGCATGAAACCAATTTGATCGATTCGCGTTAATCTATTATGTGATACATCTAGCAATTCTAAATTGGTCAATTTGTTAACGGCTCCGGGTAGAATGTCGATTACATTATGCGAAAGAAATAGTTCCTATGCATTGCACGAGCGAAAGAACGAACAAAAGAAACAAGAATAAAATCGATCAATATTAGTCTATCTTGTGTTCTTTTTTGTTTCACACAAAATTCACGTGAAAATATCATTAAATATATAATTCATAATGCTATTTTTAAACACAAATAAAAGTAACAACGACTATTTAGTTGTTGTTTTTTACCCTGAGGTTTTTTAGCATGTTACAAAATTCATCAGGCACTCGTGTAAATCGATTGAAACTCAAGTTGATTAGTGTTAAATTGCTTAAATCTGCAAGTATTCCACCACCGTTTAATGATTGCAATTGATTATTTTGTAAATTAAGACGTTCTTTGAGTAAAATGCGGCACAACACAAACACACCAGACGGAATTTCTTTTAAATTACAATCGGATAAGTCAAATTCTGGTTCTGGTGTGTCTTTTGCCTGAAAAAAAAAACGAAAACCATTGAAAACAATTAAATCGTATTTAGAAAATATGCCGAATGAAAAATGACAAAATTACGAATAACATACCAAGCACAATTTCCATTCTAATCGGGATTTGTACTCGGTTGCGGCTGTAGATCTATGCGCCATTGTATCTGTAGTGTTGTGTTCAGTATTTGACTGCTGATCACTCTTTTTTTCATCTTCTTCTTTTGATATTTGACAGCCCATACATTCGTTGTGTGTTTGTCCTGTAAATTTGAACGCGTTCAGTCTATGTTCACAGCGAAACTGAATTCTTGTTTCTGTCTCTTTTTTTAAAGGCAACTTTTTTTGCCTATTAATGAATGTAAACAATGAAGAAAAAAATTGTTGAAAAAAAAACTTTGCTTTTTTAAATATATTTTTTTTATCTATTTGTGATGAAATAATCCAATTTAAATAATGTAATGTTAACCATAGATGACAATTTATGCGACTAATAAATCGTGATTCATTCACACAATTTTTTTATGGCGTTTCGTGTTGATCAAACCGATTAGATAAAACACATATTCAAGTCATTTGATATGGAAACAATAATTTTACAGAAATAATGCGCTATTTCAATCCTTCTATCATGTTTGGTATTGCGATTCAAAAAAATGTTTCTTTTTTTCCTCTTTATTTGGATCAATTTTCGTATTGTTATGAATGCGTATGTGTATGTATTGGAATCTGTCACACATTATCATCCGTCTCGCTCTTGATCGTTGGTTTGCTGGGCTCATTTGACATTTCTATTTTAACAGGTTACAATGTGTGTATGTTATGCTTCGCTTTCAATTGTCCCAAACTTATATACTGACACCACAAAAAACACACACGCACACATTCGGTGCTTGCGCATGTATTTTTGTATGTATTGGTGTGCAAACAGATGAATCACCCTGTTTTGAGCGCACTGTATTGAATAAATGTGGTCGTGTCATATTGGCAGCGTATGCGTGCGCACTATCTGTCAAATTCATTGAAAATACATCGTCGCAAAGAAGGAAAACAGTACAAAAGTGAAGACACAAATATAAAATACCAGCAAAAGAAGTGTAAAAAAACACGAAACGTACGAACCAAATTATGATTATATTGATATTTTCAAAAATACCCATTCCAATTTGTGTGACAATCGACATTTACTGAGAGAAAAAAAAAGTGAACAAAACAAAGCATTTTTTTCGTGACCATCGAAACAATTGAAACCACCATAATTTTTTTGTTGGTATATTGTAGATTTGTGTTTAGAATTAAATAAAAGAGAGAAAGAGAGCGATAGAGAGAGAGAAGGAAAGCAAAGTGTCTTGAATTTAGTGCCACTCACTAGAAACAGTGCGAACCTGAAGTTTTACCTCTTAAAGAACGCAAATCATACCATCCACATAGAATTATCAAAATGACGACGACCGTGGGCGATGCATTGGTGAATAAAAAAGTGAACGAGGCTCAAGAACACATACGACAAGCTGAGAAAAGGTGACTTTTTCTCTACTTCTATGCTTAATGTTAAATTTCGATTTGATATGACCCCCGTAATCAAAATAATTTTTTTCTTTTATCGATAACACAATGAAATATTATAAAATCTTCTTTTGTCGCATGTTTTGTTTCCATTTTGACACATATCCACGCTGCGTAGTATGAAAACGGGATTTCTCAAGTGGAGACCCGACTTTGATGTTGCTGCCGATGAATATCAAAAAGCAGGTATTTATCGCCTTTATTTCGTGTGAAAAATGCATAATTATCAATATTTATATTATTTTTTAAAATACATTTTTCATCATGCACAGCGACATGCTATCGCGTAGCAAAGCAATTTGAACAAGCAAAAGAATATTTATTGAAAGCATCCGATTGTTACAAGGAAAATCGATCTCTATTCCATGCTGCTAGATGTTATGAACAGGTAAGATATTGATTTCATTTTTCAATCCGCCTCCAGAAGGATTATAATTCGAAATAAACATTCATTGAAATGTTCCAGATAATTTTACTTTTGAAAGAACAAAGCAAAGTTCAGGAAATGGTAGATTTTGCCCATCGAGCATGTCGATTGTATCAACAGCAAGGTTCACCCGAAGCTGCCGCTGGTGCTCTCGAAAAAACCGCCAAAATGGTCGAATCGAAAGATCCTGCAGCGGCAATCAACGTACTACAACATGCCATCGAAGTTTTAATGGTAAGTGGTCAACTACACTCGATACAAAATTATGCCTGTTCTCATCGAATTTGTTCGATTCTTTTAGATTGAAGATTCCGCATCACGACAGGCTGCAGAACATTTATCGAAAATTTCCCGACTTCAAATTCGAATCGAAAGGTATGTGTGTGTGTGTATGTGTTGAAATGCGGCGAAAATAAATATAATTCATCCGATTTATTCAACAGATATGGTGAAGCAGCCGATACAATACGCCTCGAAATTGGCATACACCAGGAAAATGGAAATGCTTCGGCTATTGGACGTTTAACCGTTGCTCTAGTTTTAGTTCAATTGGTGCGTGAAGATTCCGTCGCTGCTGAAAAGGCATTTAAAGAATGGGGAAATTATTGTGATGCTCAAGAAGCTGTTACGCTTGAAAGTCTTCTACAAGTAAGCACCATTTTCACAAAAAAATTTTAGTCTGTACTTTATTTTGATGAAAATTGCATTTTTTTTATTATTGTAATAGGCTTATGATGCAGAGGATTGGGAAGCTGTTCAAAAAGAACTGAACTCACCATTCATCAAACACATGGATGTTGATTATGCTCGTTTAGCAAATGTGGTTCCGTTGCCCGAAGGAATTAAAAATGTACCAAAAGTTGCGGTGCCCGCAAATAAAGGTATTCGGGAGCAAGTACATGAAGCATATACTTCACCACCACCAGAGGAGGTAAATATAGATTTTATGTTTGAATTTGAGCTATAATGATGATAATAGTTTGACGGGCAAATCTGAAATTTGTTGTTTTCACATTTTCCATTAATTTTGAAATTAAAATTCCAATGGAATAATCTGAACACAAATAGAGATAGACAGAAACATTTATTGTAGTAATTCTTAAAATACAATATAAATTATATATACTAGCCTAGACAGAATTCCCCATTTTTAGATCCGAAAACTGGAATTAACCGATGCGCGACTTATTTTTTTTTCGTTTAGGTTGAGAGAGCAAAAGCAGCATCAATAGCAGCTGGAAATTGGCCAGCAGCTAGCGCATCAAATGCGGATAGTAAAAATCCACCTCCACCGTTTCCAGCACACGTGGATGATGAGGATGAAGAGGGCTTGTGTTAAATACAAATCGAATATTACATGTATTGTTGCACGATTACTTTATCATATTTAAGGAATTAGATTAAGCAAACAAAATGCATTGGCCCTGTAAAATGTAGTCGACTAAAATTATAAAATGGTCCGACTTTAAGCTACAACTCTGATCATTTATCAAAATATATTCTGCGGAACAAAAAAAAGATATTTTAAATATATATATATAAATATATATTCGACAGATAAAGAAATGTGAAATGCTTCCCCTTCTTCTTTAAATTTATGAATAATAGAAAAATGTAATTAATTCAGATAATAAATGTATTCACTATTCAAGCTAGAATCTATTTAATAATTGTGAATGAAAATTGTTATGTATTTCAAAAAATGAATCTATAGTTTAAAAAAGTATGAGAAATGAATTCAAAAATAAAGTTCAGGTCATTTTCTGAAGTAACTTGAGGGATTCATTCTATTTTACTTAAGATTATCAATTGAAATGAAATGTGGTCTTTTTATTTTCGAATGTTTTTTATTAGATTTATTTTGACAACTGAATGAAACACATTCCAATGGCTTTTTTTAAAAATAAGTTTCAATAACAAAATTCACTTTTTTTCTTCAGTTTAAATTTCAATAATTTTCAAAATCTGTTGCTCCATAAAAACAACAATTGCTCTCTTATTACATTTCGTTGACTGAAATTTTTTGAGATATCCTTTTTTTCTAAGTAAGTCGGCCATTTTATATTTTTCGACGACCAAATTGAATGCAGTCATTCATCAGTCTATTTTCGATAAAAGCAAAAATTAGATATTGTTAGACATTTATTTTTTTGTGAAATATTGAATTGTAGATCAAATAATTCTTTTGAATTTTGTTTTTAATTATTTTTATTAATTTTAAAAACGACACTAAATGTAAATCAAATGATTTTTTTTTCCAAAATCAATTTCTTAAATTAAGCTACAAAACTATTCTGTTTCAAACGGAATGTATGATCCTAGTCTTATCTGTTCTTATTAATAGAAAATGTTATCAAAAATTTAATTGAATCGCTTACGGGCACTTCGTCTGATATCGCACGTAAGATTTTTATATGTGACTCTTTTACATAGCAATATTTTAAAGGGACACCTTTTGTGGATTTGCATCCCACTTATAATTTTTCCAAAAAAAAAATCATTTCAGTTGAGATATTATTTTCGTTAATCAATAACACGATCACAGTTAACAAAGTGTTACAAAACGAATTCTTGTTTTTTTTCTCTTGATATTTCGATAGTTGAACTTCAATAAATAAATATAGCATAATAATGCCTAATTCTAATGTTGAAGTGACGTTTTATTTTGTATTTCATTCCACGATTCATACGCATGGTTCAGCTGCGTTGTTTGGTCGATGATCTGAAGACATTGAAGTGAACAGTAGCTCAATTGGACCTTTAGATCGTTGGTGACTAAATTGAGCATGTTGAAATTTGACTTTTGTCGTTGACAAATTGAACACGTTTCCAAAAAGCTGTACTTGTAGATGTAGTGTGCTTGACATGATTTTGAACAGAATGAATTCAATTTGCCATTGTAACGGAGCACATGCGATGTGTCATCAACGAAGTACATCTGGCAAATGATGCATTGTTCTGTAATTTCATTGAAACAAAATTTTAATTTTCCTTTGTTGGACATTTCAAGCTGAAAATTGGGCACATTTACCTGTTAACAGTGCATTGGACATTTTTGTGTGAAAGAAGCAAAGAAATGAACAAAACTGAAAAACAGCAGCATTAACCGTTAGAGAGCAGCTCACCGTCTTTTTCGATTTGCATTGATAACATGGTTTTTCAGTGATATTTTCATCATTTCCATAGAGTTGTTGGAATCGCTGTCGGCACTTTGAATGACAAAATCCATCCTGATGATTTATGAATGTTATTATGTTGCGACAAAATCGACAGAATTTCATCAAATCGAAAAATGTTTTCTCGCACTTTTCGCCACAAAAGTAATACTGTCGATTGCCAATGATGCGAATATATGGACCAATACATGGACCACATTGAACGCTACACGAAGCACACTTATAATGACCATCATACATGTAAAGTTCATAGCACAGGATTCCACAAAACTCCAGATAATCCCACTGCATAAATGCCTGAGTTTTCTTGATGCCCTGTTGACACTGGATGCATTTCGTGATATGTTCGCGTTCTTGTAACTTGGGTGCGGTTAATAATCTTTCGAGATTATCATCATATATTGTGCATTGATCTGTGTAAATAACAATAAATTAAATAAATTTTGGCGCCATTAAACTAGATACCATCAAAATACTCACTTAAAATCGTAATTTTGTTGTCTGGACATTCATTTTCGTTTTCATTTACATTTTGATCCATTGCTGGTAATATTGGCTGAATAACATCTGCCGAAATATGAAAACTACCTTCGAGTGAGTCATCAGAATCGGTATCGATATTTGCCGATTTTAAGTCCAGTATTTTCAAATGACACCATTCATCGTTTCGCATGAGCAATTCAATATTGGTTTCGGCCACTATAGAACATCGCAACGAGCAGAAAATACGATCATCGTGAATGCGACGTATTGCATCGTAAAATCTGATCAAATGACGACAAATACAACAACGAATCTCTTGTTTCTTATCTTCACGCAAGTGTATGTGCATACATTTTTTACCACAAAATATTTTCTGGCTAAAACCTTCGCTGATCACATGTTCGTAGTTCAAATCAATTGAGAACTTTGATGCGCATTTGTAACAGCTTGCTGAAAATTGAGACGATATACGACAAACGAATTGGAAATAGGAACGATTTGATTGGATTTTTTGGTAAATTTATTTTGGACATGTAAATAATTTTGTTTTGTTCCGTCAGGAATTATCTCAAACCATTTTGTAAAAAAAATGTAAAACATTAAAAATATTTGCAAAAAAAAAACAAATATACATACCAATTTTTATACTAAGACGTTGTTCAAGTGTTTCAATGCATTTTTCCGAGCAAACCTCCAAACTAATTCCATTGTGAATGATCTGAGCATATTTACCATGTTTTTCGCATTCTGAGCACAAACCCAACGCTCGGCGCTTTTGATTTTCATTTTTTTCGCACAATATTTTACATTCATTTGAGCAAACGAATTTTGAAATCAAACCAACTCCAGTCAACTCCAATGCTCCACAAGGTGACTTTGATGATGTCTCCGATGTATCATTTGCAATCGGTGTATTACCAGACTTGTAGCATACATTCGAACAGCAATGACATTGGGTGAGCAGCGATTTGCGTTGTTCAAAACATTCATCACAAATAAATGTGAATAAATTTGTGTTGGTCACATCATCACGCAAATGAATTCGATTGTAATCAGTGAAACTGCTTTTGCAGATATCACACATTGACGCGACTCGATCGTAAAATCGCTTCAAACAATTTATGCGACAAAAACTTAAGTTCAACCAACGACAATTAAAAACGCGTTCTTTGTCAATTTGTTTGCATTGCGCACAATAATTGAGTTTGATCTGCTGCAATGACATTTTTGAATGTAAACAGTCTATATGCTATTTTCTATTTGTTTATTTTAGCGCACTAATTTTGCAGAAAGAGAACAAACGACAAACAAAAAGTTTTTTTTTTTTAACGAAATACAAAATCGTCGACTGCTTTCATAGAAGTACGAATACAAGATGGAATATGATTTCGAAATATTGTCGAAATTCATTCGCTTATAATAACGGACTGATAGTTTCGAGTTTCGGGTGTGTGCGAGTGTGTATTGGTGTATTTAGATTGAAAAAAAAATTTTGTTGCAGCATGCCGAAAATTGACAAACACACACACACAACACTGACTGAGTTAACGGTCAACGGGCAAATTTTCGTTCAATGCTCGTTTGTGCGGTGTTTATTTGAAATAATAAACAATTTTTGTTCTCGATGCTCTTGAAAATGCTTTGGTTGATGTCAGTGGTTTCATGCATAAATGTAAGCGACATATAAATGATCTCAAAATAGAGTCGATTCAGAAATCAAAAGTAAAACCAAAAATAAAAAAAAGTGGTCATCGGTTGAAATGGCAGAGAGAATAGATGCGATTGTGTGCTTTACTAAGAGACGTAATACACATTATGCGGTGACACAGAATTTGTTTGTGCGATTAAAATTGTGCTGCACCCATGTTCATTGTGCACAAAATAAGAGATTTTGATTGATCAGAGCCCGTGATTTATTTGTTCGATGATTTTAACTCTGTCACTGAAAACAAAAGCTGCTCCAACCGAACAAAGAGCAGGCAGTTTTTTTTATTCACATTCTGAATCTGGAATAATTAAAGCAATTTCAGTTTTCAAAAAACCGGAAATGCCTGCTCAGATTTAATCCATTCGAAAAGTATTTTGCAATCACATTTATACATCAGCATGGAAATTCAATCATGTTGGAACAGTTGTGCTCAATTATGATGAAAGATTTTTTTTTTTCATAAAATTTGTCTACCAACCCAAGAATCTCGATTGTCGCATAAAAAATTCGATATATATATATATTTTAATGCACCAAGAAAATACCATACTAAAAATGGCTAAGGAAAATTGGCCCGTTGCCATACACATATATCGAGTTTAATCGGTCGATACAATAGCAATTATTCAAACGGGCGATTGAACGATACAATATTGATGATGACATATATATATTTCGTATGTTGTGCACTTCAAAAGCCATTTTTACCGTTAGACGGATGGATTCGATAAATGGAGAGAAATAAAAATGCCAAACAATCGAGACTCCATAAAAAAATCGCATAATATGGTGCATGTGAAAATCCAATTCGAATATTTGCATGTGTGTGTTGCGCCCTTGTCTTAGTCTTAATATGCCAACGACACAAAAACCAAGTAAAAAGAAACATTGTCTATCGACAAATGATACACATCAATGCAGACAGAAGAGTAATGGTGTGAAGTGTTTTTGTTTGTGCAACTGAGGGAGATGGAGCGATAGGTGGATTGAATCGCATTTTCGTGTGGCGCTACAGCCGTCATCGTTTGTGTCGCTATACAGAGCTTGCTAAAATGCTTGTATAAGTGAAACGGTTTTCAGTTTCAATTTCGTGGCACGAATCCATATCGGCACTCAGTTTATCTGATGTAGTTTCTGATTGTGTGGTGTGGTGTTGTGTCGGGTGTGTGTGTGTGTATTTGCGAAATAAACAATACGACTACATACATGCACGGTGGACGACAGCAACAGCAAAAGCAGTCGTACGGCATGGAATGTGTACCGTTGTTGCGAATATCCTCGACATTCAAGTGATGTGTTTTGCGTCGATATTACATGCCGGTCGGTGTTTTTCGTAAAAACATTGTGTGTTTTCTATTCAGTTTCGTTTTGTATTTCATTTGAAATATTATTGTTTTCATTTTACGCAACTAAACCGAGAGTAGAACCACTCGTGTGCGTGTTATTTTTTTTTTTTTTAGAATACAAATAATAATTAAAAAAAATGCATTTTTCGTGATATACAGATGATACTTAAATTTCAATGTGAGTCTTTAAAAAAATAAACGAAATTCTTCAATTAATTTGTTGTAAATTTAAAATTAAGAGAAATTGGATCATTTTGGGCGAGAAATCATTCGATTGTGATACATTTTTCTGCCCATAAATAAAGAGAGGGAGAGAGAGAGCGACTAAAGGATAATAATCCAAATAAAAGAGCGCAAGACCAGACTTCCGCATGTGCATTAAAAATCGATTCAATACACACGAAATTCGCATGGTGGAGAATAAAATATCGTCATCTTGCAGTGATGCACCATACACTTTTAATACTCTTCGGTATTCGAACGCGTGACGAATGCGGGAATTTAAAAGGCAAAACGGTTTCTTTTTTTACGCTGGACTTTTTGTTCTTGTTGTTGTTTTTGTTATATTCTCGACATACCAACGCTGTTACATACAAATAATGATCTTTCCTTTGAACTAGTCAAATCGCAAAGACATGACAAACTGCCCGAGAAAAATGTTCTCACTCAAATGAGATGAAAAATTTCGAAACAAAAAGATGATAGAAAATCACATGCATACTTTAAAAATAATTCGCAAAATAATCTCAAAAATATTCTACGGTTTTTGCACTCTGCAAAAGTGTAATGACAACTCTATTCCGTTTCGAGAGAGAGAGAGAGAGAGAGAGAGAGAGCGTGCATTTTCATCTAGTTCTTTTTATTATTCTGCTTAGACCGTTGTTTGTGTACTTTTTTTGGTTCCATGTCATTGTCAATTTGTCGCGCTCACTTGAAACATTTATGTTTGTTTTCATGTGCGATTGATATGAACGGTGTGCAGCCGATGAGTCTTAGGCAAACGTAATACACAAAATAAACATAATTTTGGCTAAAAATATGTACATTGGAATTAATTTAAGTGTTTCGGGCGGCTTGTGCATTACATATTTTCTTCTTTCTCATACATATTCCCGCTTTCATTCGTTCCGTATGCTCTCTATAGAATACTTGCGTTGTCGTAGTTAATTCGGATCATCTGTTTGAATTTCCTGCTAGTGGTGTTGCCGCCGACACCCAAACATACAAAATAAACTACGGTCAAATGGCCAAATATCACAAGTGGATGAAGTTATCGTTATTGCGTCAAAAGCAACAACGAAATTGATAATAAATGGAGTGTCGTTAAATTTGGTTTACGTTCGATAAAAATGATGATCATTACCAATAGTTGTGAAAACGAAGCAAGTAAGAAAGCAAACATGTGAACATCTGTGGCTATATTAGCGGCTAATACACGTGTGAAAATCTCATTTTTATGTCATTTAATTGCGCATCATTCGATATCTTACAACCCAAATCGATTCAGTATTTTCCAACCAAATTGTTCTTCAATCAAACTGCACTCATACCAAGTTTTTGTCTAAAATTTGCGCATCAATTTTTTTAATCGAAACAATTGTGCTACGGTAACATTTCATTTTAATTGCAAACAAACCACAAACAGTTTTCTCCTTAACAGAAAAAGAACTAAAAAATTGTCATTTTTTGAATTTGTTTTTTTTTATCTTTCAGAGTTCTCAGTGTCGCGCACTGTGGATTTTATTGGCTCCAACAGACGCTCCGAAGCTCTGCACCATTACAAATCAATAGAGCAAAACAACAGCAGGCATTTACATAGCCGCATAAATGAGAATATATACTGAATACTAAAAACTGTGTCAAGTTCATTCATATAGAGTGTGATAAACCCTTTTTGTCCAAATGTTATGAACGCAGCAAAACAAAACAAAACAAAACAAAATATATTAAAAAAGCTGTTGATTATACGATAAATGTTTGTACGAAGAAAATTTTGTGATAATTGCTAGTTGATTGTATGAATTCTTCTGTTTTTTTTTTTGTTCAAAGTGAAAACGGTTAAATAGAAATTCTATACAAATGGAAGTGTGCTGCTTGAAAATGGCATCGCGATGCAGGTAATTTTATTAAATTTTCATTTAATTTTGCTCCATTTTCATTTGAGAAAAGGATATCGAATAAAGACTAATGACAAGCTAATCGCTTTTGGTGAAATTGGTTTAAAGAAGAATTAATGTTGAATGAAACTTAATTTGAAAAAAATGGGATTGGGTCTGCAAACTTTAACAAAGAATTTGTGCTTGTAAGGGTAGCTATTCAAACCATTTGATTTAACTATTTCAATAGGAAATTTCCAATTCCGGGCCAAACCCAATTTTTTTGTGCACACGATAGCAAGTGAGGCCAAGTTGGTTGAAAATCTATAATTCGTACGTTCCATTTGAGGACATGCCTGTTACGTTGATAATGCAAAATGTGTGTACACCGATCTGTGTCACTTTTCGAAAATTTAGATTCTGAACTGTTTGAAGTGTTTTAATTTATTTTATTCTCTTTGTGAATTTTCGCGTCTTCTCATTCTTTTAATGTTTTTTCGTTATCGATTGAGCGAGTGTGCAAAATTCAATGGGTGTGTGACATTGAAAACAAAAATTCGAGCAAACAAAATGTATGTGCGTCTTTGTGTATGTATGTTCGCCATGTGAAACGAATGGCTTCAATTTTAGTAATAAATAAAATTTGCATTGTATGCGTTGTAATCATTATTAATTGTGAAATGTCGGTATACCGAATTTTCGAAACAATAGAGCATTACATCATGTTTACGTTTTGATGCGAATGTAAATACGGTGTGAGCTGATTACACCAAATGTGAATTGTAGACAAACTAATCTATTTATTGTGTGACGAATGGCTAAATGTGGTCGCTTTTAAGAGCTGCCACCGTCATCATCATCATTGCCACACAAAAAAACTGAGTATGGGAAAATCAATGAAGAATCAATGTCAATGTATGTAAATAAAGCGTATTCCATGAAATGTACGCACTTTCGACGTTGAAATTTATTAATTAGCTACGTATTCTCTTAAAATACTGCGTCAACACGTTTATTTTAATTCAGCATTACGTTTGTTTGATCATCTGCTTTAGAAATCATAAGCACACGTAAATGAAATGAGTGCAAAATAAAAACGGAAGAACCTTTTCAAATTTACATTTGAATGAATATTTCTTGATTTTGTTTGACACTACGCGTAATTATCATGTTTCTGTCAGTCTGAATGAATTCAACAAAAACAAACGATAATGAAATTCAGCCAAAGAATGCAAACGGACAATAAATCCGCTTTCCACCGTATTTATTGACATCATAAGCACGGTGCTGATTCAAATTGCGGCATTCGTTCAACTTAATCATAATCAAAAGTCACGATCGCATGCCGCGCTACACTGTAATTTAGCATTAAATTGATTTGGGATCGCTGTTTTGATTAATTGACTTCAAAGAGGAAAAACTAACAACAGAATACCTGAAATTACAAAAAAAGAGCGAATACTTTGATAAAAAAATAAATTAACATTGGCAATTCTGAGTACATTGATAGTATCCAGCTATTATCGCAAAGTTTGAGCATGCCGCTCCATCAAGATACAATGGGTATTTCTTTTGTTATTCAACAATTTCATCTTATTTTTAGAAAAAAAAACACAAAAGATACACGCTATATCGCGCATTGCCTTCAATTTTAAAACGTCAAACAATAACATCAATGTGAAATTTGTTATCTATCTGCTTCTATTTTGATAACATTATAATTCACTGGAACGATGGAGCACGGTATAGAGAGAGAGAGAGAGAGAGAGAGAGAGAGAGAGAGAGAAAATGCGAAGTGCTATTTTGGTGTGGTCGTCGGCATTTGTTGAGAATCTCAACTTGAGATTTACCGCCTTGATTATAGCTAGATAAATAAAAGCTCAAGTCTTAAAGAGAAAAAAATTTATAAAAATAATGGCGAAATTACACACCTTTTCGCGTCATTATCTCTTTCTCAGTCGACAAAACAATTCACAGAGATAAAATAACATTAAACCCCAACGTATTTTCATTGTTGTTTTTCCTTTCTGATTTTCGATATCGAAATGTGTATCCAACCAAAGTCAATATTTTTATTCCGTTCCTTTGTGTTATAGTTTACTTTTTGTATCTATAAATTCGGTACAAAAGTTGGTTGACATTGTCGCGTTCACATTATGGGCTCTTTTGCAATTGTTTAAATTGCTTAAATATAAACACTTGTGTTATCGTGCCTGCTGCTCTAAATACTCCAAACATGTGTGCTTCGTCATCGTTGACATCAAAAATAAGCGGACGAAAATGAAAACAGTGTTCGTCCAACGGCAAATGAATTCTGATTTGCACATTCTCAAAAGTGTTCTAGAAAAATATGATTGTAGTTTGTTTCTGTCTCGCCATGGATCTCACGCATGCAAACAATGATCGCAATTGTTTTCCGAAAACTTTATTCTTTTTAATTATTAATTGCGAGTTTTGTGGTTGTTTTATTTATTTGCTGACCCAAGCAATATACTGGAACGTATTTGATACAATATGAAAATGCACATTCAGTTAATCACTGTGGCACATTGCAAAAATCATTTTTTGAATTACATGCCATTTTTTTAAATCATGCATTCGCATCTATTTATCTAACATTTATTTGATCTTAGTCATGCAATACGTCAACAGAATTCTACATTTTTCTAACATAGATCTTGTTGCGTATATATGAAAAAATACTAGTTTCATTATTCTTCGTGATTTCATATTTGTTTACGCGCTACATAGTGCAAAATATCACCCGCATTGCAATTTTATACCGAAAACGAGATACGATTCATCGAACAATCGAATCGAAATGATCGATGAACAATGAAATAACATTTGACAAGTTCCAATGAATGAACCCGTACAGCTCAAATTCAATGTGGCGCTCAGCAATTCCGTTTCGTTTTTGTTGATTTCTCGTCTGGAGAGCGAACGAGAGAGAGAGAGAGAGAGAGAGAGAGAGAGAGAGAGAATACCATTGTTGTTATTTTTTTTCATATTGAAAATGATGGAAAAAACTACGATTAATAGTGCAATTCACAGTACACAAATATCAATTTAATATATACATCATTCACTTAGAACATTCTAATCATACATAATACGACCGGAGCCGCATGTATCATATGTATCGTATTACTAGAGTTTAATTTTTTTTCTCTGTCGCTCACCTCCAAATTCCCTCTCTTAATCTTTGTGCATTTACTATCCAAGCATAGAGAGACGAAGAAAAAGAAAACTATGAAAGAAAAAACTCCGTGTTACACTAAACTAATAATGTAATACATATCGAACGTCAATTATTATTATCGATGTTACGGCATTTGTTGTTATTCTGATTGTTATTTGTTTGAGCCTATTTAATTTGTTGTACTCCATATTGAACAAACTACGATAGTTTGAAAACAACAAATCGAAAAAAGTAACTTTTTTTCCTTCTGTCTCTCTCTCTTTTTTTGTCTATCTCGTTTTGTTATGCATCGAGCTTTGGCAATCGAGACCGCAATTTTTCTTATGTTACTACTCGTAAGTGCAATAAGCGAATGCAGCACTGTAACCTATTGTAAATGCGTGAATGAACAGAACGGCCGCAACACATATGCGGAACGGCAAAAGTTGCATTCCAATGTATCTTTGAAGCTTATATTGATACAATTACAAATAACACATCGATTAAATTAAGAATTAATTTGGTTTTTCTTGCTCAATAATGTCGGAATGGAAAGAGTTTTGGCTACGCTTCCTTCTGTTTGCTTCAGCACTTCATTTATATTTTTTACTAACATTCTGGTTGTTATCAAATCGAAACAACACTAGAAAATCGTCGCATAATTAAATTGTAGAAATGAATCAGCTGATTATGTCATTGCATATATATTAAATTTCCGTTACGTTTCCTACAAATAGGGAGGGAAGATGTTTATATCGTGCGTGAATTTTACCATTCGAGCCAGTTTGGCGTTACCATTTCTTGTCATGATTTTATCGTCGTATTTGAAGGAGTGAGAGTGTGGACGCGTCTAATATTTTTTTTGCGTGTCGCAATTACCTTCCAGTATGAACTAATTGGCATGGCTCAATAGATGCAACGTTCAAAAACTGAATTCATTTTAAAACAAAGTTAAAACAACGAAAAGTCGGTGTTATAAGCCGCGCGTGCAAATCCGTTTATGAGATAATAACTTTGAGCGAATGAAAACTTACTCAAAATGAACTACAACCCGGCAATGGGTGCAATTACTGAAAATTATATTACATTTTTATCGTACATTTTTTGCTGTGGGGTTTTTCTTCTTCTTCTTCTTTCGTTTCGTTAAATTATATATTGAAAGCAGTGAAATGTAATAAATTAATTGAGACGCCCGAAGCATGAGTGAATAGATTTTATTGAAGCCGGAGATGTTATTCGATAAGCTTACAGTTGTTGGTGTTGTCAAGAGGGGTTCTCGAATTTCAAATGCTCACCATATATGTAAAGTCTGTTGTATATTGTTCTCGATTTACATCGTGAAATCTATCGCAGACATTTGAACCGAATGGTTAAATATTAGCACCAAATAAATTGTTCACACAATTGAAGCTTATAAACTAAAGCAAAACTCGTGCGAGCTGCAATTAGCCAGACACTTTTCATATCTATTGCAAATGAATCGCGGTTTTGCTAATGTGAAGAAAAATAATATTCACCATCTAAGCCTAATTTACTACTGGCAATTTTGCAACTGTTTCGTCCGTACTGAAAGTCAAGGTTTTCATCAATTTTCCCGTGAGTTAATTGCCAAGTTCATAATCGTTTCGGTAACAAAAAGAAGAAACATTTCGTATATGTGTGTTGCTATTTCGAGTTTATATACAGAACTATAGTTGTTAGTCAAAAACTTGGACGAATTTATACATCAAGTATATTCTTCATGCATAGTAATCATCGATTCAATTGAAGACTCTTTAAATAAACAATCGATATCAATCGCAATATTAGCGAATAATGAATATCAATCGAATAAATCGATTGAACGAACGGTATATGTCTATCAAACTAAAACCGAAAAAGATGCATTTCCAATGAATTTCCTGCTTACGCATTTGTACACTTCCATATTCTATTTAAATGTAGTAGACAGACTTTCTTCAATCACATGCCAAAACATGAGAATTGTATATGCTTCTTTCTTGGGGGGTGAAATAGACTAGTATTGTATTGAGCATGTGAAGGTATAGGGTTTCCATTTCAATTCGCTTTATTTTGAAAGAACTTTCGCTACTTTTACTATCGTTAATTTCAACAACAATAACAATAACGCAAACCTCACAGTAGCGTCAGTGGTGGTGGTGGTGGTGGTAGCAGATTATCAACAAAAAAAAGCGTGCTAAACACATATGTCGCTTCCACATGTATTACCAGTCGCATTCCGATGATATTCTCGCATGCTTCATTCACGTTATTCACTTTACAAAATCGCGAAAATCAAAAACACAAATCGGGGTAAATTGTTGAGATTTATTTATTTTCATTTGTTTTCATTACGACATCGCGTGTGCTTCCAAATTTTGTTACTTTAAGGAAAGGCCAAGAAGAAACAAAAAATCAGCAAAAAGTTTATTTCCCTTTTCAATAAATTTGCAAAAAGTTAACGAACAACCTAATAATATACTGAACCATTTTAATTGTTGAAATTCCAAGTTGAAATTCCGTGAAGATACATTTTGTTTAATATTTTCATTGATTTTATTCCATTTTACAGACCAATGAGAGCGGTAATAACTGATGTTCCCAAGATACCCACAGTCAGTACATCACACGATTGTGGCTCACTATCCAGAGTTGTAATGGTTCGGAAAACTGATTCTCGAATGACCAAGAAAGTGACCAAGAAACCTGAAGCGGTATGACAATTTCTCATGATTTTTGTTACTTTTTTAAAAATATTTTTTATTTGATTCAATTTTGAAAGTGAATTTTCGGTTTTTGTTCTCTTTATTGTTGTAGGATCCACAATGTGAATTTCTAACATTTGAAACGATTCAAACGTATCGTGGTCACAAACCAGACCGAACAATTGTCATGAAAGAAAAGCATGACATGTGCGAGTCGGAAGCTCAACGATCACCGTGCGCACAACGTTTTATGCGATCGAGTACAAATAGTGTGTCAGAAACGCCAAATGGTCATTTGTCATCATCGGAAAAGGAAACTACCAGTGACGAAAAGGTGAAAAAGCCCAAGGAAAAAGAAAAAGAAAAGAAACCAACAACTGGCGAAGCGGATGTGGCAAAAAAACGGGTGACAATTTTGAAAAATTCATTGACACCGCCAGTTTCATCATCAAGCACACCGCAACGTGTTCGACGCTCACAGTCACTCAGTTCAACGCGATCAACAACATTTACCGAATTTGAAAAATCATGTTTACGCGCACACAATGAATACCGTGCCAAACATGCTGTGCCACCATTAAAATTGAGCAAGCGATTGTGTCGCTTCTCGGAAGAATGGGCCAAGGTAATATTTGTCAGATTTTGTTGAAAAAAAAATTAACGCCATTTTCTCTGTGACAGATTTTAGCATCTAGAGGAACGCCAGTACATCGAAATAATTCACCATATGGTGAGAATATATTTTGTTCATGGAGCTCAATACCAAACATGGGATCCGTCAAAGGATGGGAGCCCGTCGAACATTGGTACAGTGAAAATGTAAATCATTCGTATGGCAAAGAACCATCCACATTAAAAACCGGTCATTTTACACAAGTCATATGGCATGATTCGCGTGAATTGGGCGTTGGCATGGCCAAAAATCGAACCGGACAAATTTTTGTCGTTGCAAATTATGATCCGCCCGGTAATTTTATTGGCAGGTAAGCGTATGATATATTTTTCATATCAATTGATTTTGTTTTATTTTCTATGCCGTTCCGCGTTATTTGTGTGCATTGATTCGAACATTTTGCCAATTTTTTATTTTATTTTCTCGAACCTCTGCAGTTTCACCGAAAATGTTCCACCAATTGGCGGTTTTGACGAAGCTCAAATGGAAAAAGTTAAACGATCGTCCGTTTCGTTCGAGTCATTTCTAGATCCAGACAAAGAGGATGACTTGAATTTGGAAATTTTCATTAAAGCTATTTTGAGATATCACAACGAATACCGAAGAAAACATGGTGTGCCAGAATTAAAGTAAGACTTTTTCAAAATTTATTTTGTTTTTAATTTTATCTTGAAATTTTGCAAATTTTTTCATTTGTCTCCTGTTTTTTTTTATTCAGATTAAACAAGAAACTATGCACCGTGTCACAAGAATGGGCTGAAACACTGGCGTCTGAAGATCGATTTGCGCATCGGCCGAATTCAAATTTTGGTGAAAATATTTACTGTCTTTGGTCATCGGATCGAATGGCAAAAGCCAACCCAAGAGAGGTGTGCCGATCATGGTACGACGAAATTAAGGAGCATGATTTTGCGGTTGAACCAAAGGGCATATTCAAAGCTGGCCATTTCACACAGTTGATTTGGAAAACATCACAGGATTTGGGTGTCGGTGTTAGCAAAACGAAAAAGGGCAAAGTTTTGGTTGTATGCAATTACAATCCGCGCGGCAATATTGCAGGACAATTCACATCAAACGTGTTAAAAGCTCGTTAAATTCAAAACCAATTCTTTTATTTTGGCTTTCCTCGTGAACTGCAAAATTTTGATTTAAATTTAAATTACACCTTTTACTGAACGCGCGTCAATTTAATCGAAAGTTTGTATTGAACAAAAGCACATAAAATTCAAATCAAAAATTGAAATTGCGTGGCTCTTGTCACCAAAATACGTAATTTTAATTTGAAAAACTATTGGAAACAAATAATTTAAAATGTAAACTTTAGCCCGATAAAAGTATAAAAGAAAAAGAAAACAATAATGAATTGAGTACCTGCATTTGTTTGCATTATTTGAATGTACATGGACGGAGTGTATGTTTTTTTGTACCTTTTTAGTTACCGAGTTCAAAACGAAATTGTTATGTATGCTATAATAAATCATTAGGTATTTATAGTCATTGAATCGAGCGAAGCATTAGTTATAAAGAAAAACACAAATCGGATCACATATGAAATAAAAACGAATAAGATTGAGAGATTGCCTTCAGTAGTAAATAAAATGCGACTAGAATACCGAACCACAGGAAATAGATGTTAGAAAGTAAATGAAACAGAAACCGCCTTGAACTGTGCATACTAATTTACCAAATTTTGGAGAAATGAAAAAAGAACGAAAATATCGCCATTTTACCAGTGGTCTTATGTACGTCTTTTTGAATTACACATTAAAATAGGTACGTGCACATACACAATCACACACAAATGCAAACCGAATTTGATCGATTTCGGTCATTTTATTTAATTTAATAAACATAATATTAATAGTAGAATATTTAGTCTAGGAATTCTTATTAAATTCAATTCAATGGCAATTTAAATTGATAAGTCACATAAACAGTATTTAGTTTATAAGAAATGTCCATTTCATAATCGCTTGAAATTTATTCAAACATACCATTTTATTATAACAACACAAAATATCTGTACACTTGTATCATTTAATCTAGTCGACACGTGAACAATTCTGAAAAAAGGGCGCGTAAGTTAATTATTTAATTAAAAAAACATCGATTTAAAACAATTGCTCTATTTTTCACAATTATCGCAAATAAATAAATAAAACTCCAAATATAAAAGCAAACAAATGTAAAAATTCATTGTTAAAAAGCATCATTCGTTTTGGATTTTTTTCTCAAAATTATGTTCTGCCCAGTAATATTATCGCTCATAATGTTTCTCAATACGTGGTCAAATTTTTATCATATTCCCGCAGCCATCCAAGCAGTTTTAGTAAAAGGAGCGTGAGTCTTAGCACTACTTGTGTCGTCATCATAAGAATATGAGTTTCTTATCGGTGGTTCCTCAGGTATTTCCTCTATAAAATCACCTTTAAGACCATGTTTTCCAAGGGACTTCCAGTACTCCTGTTGAAAAAAGCCGCGAATATTGTTCCTCACATTACACCATGCGTCCTTCTCGACTACTTCATTCACATACATTTCTATCAAATTGAAGATCATGAAGGTAATCGCTATAAATCAGCGCTATTGCATATACAATAGACATAGGTCCACTTGATACTTTGGCTTTTTTATCTCTTCCTCTGTCTTTTCTTTGAAATATAGTTTTATCTTTTCTTTTAGATGTCCTCCAGTTATCTGGTCATTCTTTTTCTTTGTTTCTTGTTTTTGCTTTTCACTTGGCTGAACATAAACGATGCGGCCACGCTTTGGATACCGCCGGTTTATAATTTCCATATTCCTACGACTCAGTGTTTTTTCCATTACAATGTCATAAACGTACACTTTCTTTGATTTTTTGCCATCGTAAAATACACATATATAATAACCATATGGTTTCAAGCTAGTGTCACCGAACAGTATTTGTACATCTGGTTTGTCCGGATGTGCCGTTTTGTATGCAGAATTATAATTGGTAAGTCTAGTAATATCGTATTTAGATTTTGATGTGAACCGAACCAATTGAAATAATTTATTGTAACAACAGAAAACAGTTCGTTGGGTGACGAAAGCTCCTTCAATATTTGCGGATTCAACAAATCATTGGATATGGACATTTCGGGACGCATCAACTTTTTACTTTTAATCATGTTCAAAATATGTTTTCTCATATCAACAGTGGGGTCAGCATTTCTCATATCCAATTTAAGAGGTGCGTGTCATCAGCGCCACCCTGGAATTGTGCTGTTAAACCAATATATGTAAAAAATTGTGCTCAAATTGTGCTGGCAGAAAATTCATACTTTTATGAGGGTCTGACGCGAAACCATCGAGCACAATTCGTCCAAAATTCCGTTTTTTCAAAAAATTGTATGTATGGACCTCTATTTTTTTCTTAAAAAAGTAAAAAAAAAAACATTTTTTGAAAATCTCAATTTATTTATTTGAATGAAAGATTTATGACAAAATAGTTTCTTATTTATGTAAAAAAAAGTGAAGTAACCTTATTTATATACTGAATGCATTTCTGTTTCAACTGAGAAACCATCATCAGCGAGCGTCAAAATTATTAAAAATTCTATAGTTTCTTATTTTTTTAACCCTCGGTTAGGCACATGTCTGAATAGTCACATTCATGCCACATGAGTCTGGCCAGACCCACATACATTTTCATGTATTTTTATTTGAAAGGTGTTGCTATGTATTCTTTGATCCTTCTTTTATGCTCTGTCAAAGAAATTGAACAATTGGTTTACATGTGGCGCTGGTGAGAGGTGTGAGCCAAAAATCTTAACTATCGGCCAAGTATAAATTTCATATAAAATCAACGAAAAAACATATTTTTTCACATTTTTCGGGTTTACTTGAAATTTCATCCTAAAGAAATGTTTATATGTGTCCGTAGGAATAAATATGGCATTACAAAAACGGAATCTGAAGAACGTTACATAATTTTTTTTTTTTACATAATACAACTCCATACACAAAAGAAATTATGTAACGTTCTTCAGATTCCGTTTTTGTATTGCCATATATTTTTTTGAATTTCGAGGCATATCTTGATGGCCACTTGAGAAAACATGTCTTATAGTCCCCAGATTCAAGATATGAAGGAATTTTCAACTTAAGGTTCCATATAAGACAGCGACTTCAAAGGAAAGGAGGTACATTTTACTGGAAAATCATGAAAAATTGCAGTGACCCACTCACCATGAAAACTTGTGAATCTTATTTTCTGACCAAAATAAGTAATATCACTAAGTTTGATAAAATTTCAACTAAAAATAAAGGTGCCTCCCCTACAAAATTTTCACAAAGAGGAATGTGCGTTAGTTCGTATGTTTATGCACAACCAATACACATACATATACAACGTATTTGGATAAGTGTGAACTTTAGTGTGCACACTTATTTTTAAGTGCAGTTCGTATACACGGGTTGTGCAGAGTGTGTGTTTTTCAAATGAACCGTCGCACATTTTCATGCATAAAAAACACTTTAATCGTTGTTTAGTCTCTTTCAATGTACAAAATCGATTAAATATTGAAAAAATAATACAAATTATCCCAAATATGAACGTGAGAGATGGATTTTGTTTGAGTTTTTTACATCGCAATGCTAATTTTTTTCTAGAGCAAAAAATCACTACAAATTGAATCAATATCAAACGAAATTAAGTTTTAAATCTTTCATTGGATATTTAACAATGAAAAAAAATGAATAATTATAAAAATATAGTTTTTTTCACGCAAAATCATTTTACACTGAACTTGCAAAATCAATGTGTAAAATGACGATTCACACTGGGAAGAAACAACTTCAGTGTAAATGGGAGGAATACAATGAACACATTCATGTTCACACTGTTCAATTTCTCTGAGTAGTATTTCCTATAGCAAACTTTTCAAAAAAATAATTTTATAAGTCGCAAAATGATATAACAGTTATAGCGAGCCATAGCGAGCCATAGCGAGCCATTTGTAGTATTTCCTAGGGGCAGAGCAGTACTAGAATAATCATTTTTGTTTAAAGTAATTCTATGTTGTGAGTAGTAATCCATATTAATCCATAGTAATACACACTTATGTAAATTCTAACAGCAGTGCAATGACGTTTCATGTGTACGTTGTGTGAGCCATAGCGAGCCATAAAGAGTCATAGCGAGCCATAACGAGCCATAGCGAGCCATAGCGAGCCATAGCGAGCCATAACGAGCCATAGCGAGCCATTTGTAGTATTTCCTATAGTAAACTTTTCAAAAAAAATTATTTTAAATGTCGCAAAATGATATAATAGTTATAGCGAGCCATAGCGAGCCATAGCGAGCCATAACGAGCCATAGCGAGTCATTTGTAGTATTTCCTATAGTAAACTTTACAAAAAAATAATTTTATATGTCGCAAAATGATATAATAGTTATAGCGAGCCATAGCGAGCCATTTGTAGTATTTTCCTATAGTAAACTTTACAAAAAAATAATTTTATACGTCGCAAAATGATATAATAGTTA